CCCCCCCCGCCTGTTGCTTTTCACAACTTAAACCATTCCTGGGAGTGCATTACCTGACCCGAGGAAATGGGATGGGGGAGACCGGGAGGGCCCTGGGTCTGTCCCCCCCAGCTCGCGACTGAGCCGCGGGGAGCACACAGGGGGTCAGAGAGAAGCCCCCATGGTGGCTCGTGGTACCCAGGGCCGCGTCCCCTCCTCCAGTCCCCACTTTCGACCCCACGCGGGGGAATCGGGCAGCAGTTCTTACCCCATGCACCGCCTGTGCCTATTTTGCACTCAAAACTGAGATCTGAGCAAAACAGCTTGAGAAATAGGGACAAGATAAAAATGAGTGGAGTGGGGGTGAAGGAGCCCCATCCCCACCCCATCTCCCTCCCGGCCGAGCCGGGGCACCAGTTCCTGGGCGGACTGGGGAGGAACCACACCAGCTGCAGCGTCCGGCCCCACGGAAGGGAGCCAGCGCTTCGTGCTCGCCTGTTCCCCGGGGCGGGAGCTGCCTCCCGCCTGGCTGGGACACACGGCGAAAATCCCCAGGGGCTCGGCCGAGCCCAGTACAGAGCAAAGCCTGTGCTGGCCTGAGCAGACTCCCACAGCTCCGATAACATCAGCACATTCCCCATCTCTTCCTCCTTCCAGCCCTGACCAGCAGCAAATTCCTCATGTAGAGGAGCAGGATCTGTCTGGACGCCGTATACCAACACGCCCCGGGTGAAAACCATCGCTTCAGAGGAGCCTCTCGGCTGGCGACGGGGTCGGGGTGCTGTCGCAGCAGGTCACCCCCCTTTTTAGGGATGGGGGACGAGAGAGGAGCAGGGGGCTGTGCTTACTTCAGCAGCGCCAAGCAACGCCAGCAGAAGAGCTGGCCCTTCAAGTTCAATTCCCTCCCAGAACAGGAATAAATAGATGTCCTGCCCTATTAGGCATGCAAAGATCCTGATTCAGAGCTTGAAATTCAAGGCGAGATGAACAGCTTCAAAAGAATAACCTGACTTACAGGAGTTTTGTAATCCCTTGTCATTGTTTGCCTAATACTATTTACCCTTTGCTACCGAGACAAGCGCGAGGAGCAGACGCAGGGCTCGGGCAGCTGGGAAACCTGAATAAACCTGACCTCCCGCGGCTCCCCCGGCCGAAGGCAGGGCAGAGAAGACAGCGATTTCACCCAACAAACCTCTGCCCAGGAGAGGACAGCCCTAGAAGAAACCCCAGCTTTCCCCACTGGTGAGGTTGCTCTCTAACCTGCGTAACAGAGCTTTCATCTTACAGTTTTCCAGCCTGTGTAAGGGGGAAATCTGCTGCAACTCCGGCCAGGAAAACAGCCAGCAGCTGGCCAGCAGCCTGAGCGTGACAGCAAGCGATGAGAAGCTGTAGCTGACGGGGGAAGGCGGGATGATCAGCTGGGAGGAGCTCCGTCCCAGGTCCAGAGGGGACTGCAGAATGGAAAAAATGCAAAACAAAGCATTTAGGAAGGCAGACTTCATACTTTTTCCCCCCAAAAACCTGCTAATTCACCGATCCTGTTATTAAGTGGGATCAGCAGAAAGAACAATCTGTTGCAGGAAGCGATGGGGCTACTCAAGAAGCTCAACATTGCCCTTGAGGCGACGAAGGGACTCCAGCAGAAGCCAAGTCACCAGCCAGCAGGACCAAAGCACTGCTGCCCGCCTCTTCACCTGCAAGAGTCCAACCTGGAATGACACGTTATTGCGAAAAGATGGGAGATGTGCTGAAATTTTCATGCCAATTGCGATGTGGCAAAATGCTGGCTGGATTTGCATTCATCTAGCACACGGTACCGTACAAAGATGATACAAAACAACGTGATACCAGTGCAAGTTTCATGAAACTTTTTATTCAACAAGTATTTCATTACGATTCTGCCAAGATGATCAAATGAACAGCAAGGCATAAAAAACATGAAATAGTTAAGAGATTTTATTCTAATAGCTTTAATTACAGTGCTTGTTTGTCGAAATGAAAACTGAAAACAAGTATACAAAACAGTTGATTACTAATTGTGTATTGAAAGCAATAAAGGTTTCCACAACACTAAATAAACCAGTTCTGATAGTTCCTCGAGTTAAAGTTTAACAGCTCCAGCTTCTTCAGTGTTTATCAAAATACAAAAGAAAAGTAAAGAGGTCTTTTTTTTTTTTCTGATGGCAAATCTGAACCTTGCAGTATGAGGGATGCCAAGGGTTTTCACACATATACAGATATGGGATTGTTCCAAAATGGGATTGAATACTTCTAGAGTGGAATGACTCTCCAAACTCTCATGCTTTTTTTTTTTTTTCTAGATACTATACATAGATGTTTGGTGTTTTTCATGGCAATTCTTATGTTAAGTACAGTACTTTCTGCCTATAGAGCTTAGGACTAGTACAGGCTGTGCTTTCTGTGGAAAGGTTTGCCTTCTGGAGTGGTTTACACACAAGAAAAGTACAAAACACTTTTGACAAATACAACAGGCTAAAAATGTGACTTCTGGAAATTATTCAAGTTCAATGGAAGCGATAAATCTCACCTGAACCAAAAGTCAGAAGTTTAGCATGAGTCTGCAAGCTCATCTAAACCAGGTCCGACAAATCTTTTAACGAATATGAACAAATATGAGTACATACTATGAGCTACAGAAAGAGCCAGAGATCTATTAGTTATGATCTGTTCTTTAACCGGATGAAGCTAATTGGGTGTCGATCTTTGCTTCACCGTTTCAAACGAATCGAAAGCCACCACATTAGAGCTAGAACAGCAGAAGCTATGTCAAAGGTTTGTATGCTGAAGTGTTTCTACTTTTCCTTGACTATTTAAAAAAATACAGAATTCGGGTTAAAAACCAACCACCAAAATGGATCTCACAGATCTCACAACCCAGCCGAGATAGTATTCAGCTCTACTGCACAAGGACCACTGGCAACCCTTATGTTAACCCACTGAAATCCCTTCCACGTACTAAACAGTGAGTTGATTCTTTACAATAAAAAAGCTGAGTAATATTGCATAGGAGTACCAGAAACTGCCTCATTGGAAAACAAAAACTATTTACATTAAATAAGAAATCTAACTGTTTTCAGGCTTGTATTTGCCACATTTACAGCATGATGCAATATATACTGT